ACTGTCAATACTGTACTAAATATAGTCAATACTGTAATAAAATACTGTCAATACTGTAATAAAAACACTGTCAATACTGTAATAAAAACACTGTCAACTCTGTAATAAAAACACTGTCAATACTGTACTAAAAATACTGTCAATACTGTAATAATAACACTGTCAATACTGTAATAATAACACTGTCAATACTGTAATAAAAAACACTGTCAATACTGTAATAAAAACACTGTCAATACTGTAATAAAATACTGTCAATACTGTAATAAAAATACTGCCAATACTGTAATAAAAATACTGTCAATAATGTAATAATAACACTGTCAATATTGTAATAAAAACATTGTCAATACTGTAATAAAAATACTGTCAATACTGTAATAAAAATACTGTCAATACTGTAATAAAAACACTGTCAATACTGTAATAAAAACACTGTCAATACTGTACTAAATATAGTCAATACTGTAATAAAATACTGTCAATACTGTAATAAAAACACTATCAATACTGTACTAAAAATACTGCCAATACTGTAATACAAATACTGCCAATACTGTAATAAAACTACTGCCAATAATGTAATAAAAATACTGCCAATACTGTAATAAAATACTGTCAATACTGTAATAAAAATACTGCCAATACTGTACTAAAAATACTGTCAATAATGTAAAAATAACACTGTCAATACTGTAATCAATACCACTAATTAATGTTGGTTTTTCTATGTGCTTCACATAAGAAAATGAAGGATTTCACTCAATGTTTCTGACCAGTTCTTTCCATATAAAAACCTCCCAGTGGAACAGCGTTATGTCTGCGGACTTACAACGCCAGAAACCAGGTTTCGATACCCGTGGTGGGCAGAGTAGCCCTTTGTGAAGCTCTGTGTTTAACTACAAACAAACTCAAACGCATATACAGATTACTCAATAGCGATAGTGCACGATATAGAAAACAAATCGGTGCAATTTAAGGGTTAAGGGAGTTTAGCCGGGATCCGTATAACTGATTACATTGGGTAAGTTGTTAGAGCACTGACCTACTAACCTAGCACCTGCTGAAACGTTGCCCTGTCGAAACGGAAGATTCCAGAGCAGTAGCCATATTTAAACACTGGCCTACATCTACGGCTCACAATAAGATCAGGGACACTTTTCATCCCCGTATCATTCGTCAAGATCCTCATGAAAAACAAGGGCAGCTGTGTCGGAAGTGCGTCAGCAAAGACTGGCTATTTTAAAAACGTAGGAAGAGGTTAAACAACCGTTACTTTTTGGGCACACCTTACCCTTCATTTCTTCTTGTTTCAAGGCTAATGCCGTGACATTTTCGGGGGTTATATAAACGCGACTTTTAAAAGGAGCAAGTCAAGTATACGATCGAACATTTAACTCATGTACACACATATATATATATATATATATTATCTTTCAAGGGTTTAGCCTACTTAGCTATAACGGAAGGGTGTGGAAGGGTGTTATTAGACGAACTGAAGGAGTTTCTCTAAGAAACAAGAGAAAGTACTGAAGGCAAACGAAGCTAGGCTGATAAAAAAAAAAACGTACCATTTATTGAAAACATCTGTTTTTAATGTGTTTTCTTTCTTTTGTTTCTTCATATTCCACGCGCGTAGCCACATGTATTTGAGACTCTTCCGGTCACATGATCTTCGACCAATAAATCTTGCAGGAAGAACATTCACCTCACGGAAGTTAATTTGTACATTATTTAATTGGTTAAATAACACGACAGAAGCACCCTGTTTTACGAAGAATGCCTTCTATTGTTTGTTTTTGAATTTCGCGCAAAGCTAC